ATTCAAACTATATTCCCTCGCAGGCTAATTAAATTTCTTACAAAAGCTGAAGGGCCAGAAAAATATCTTCAGTTATATAATGACGTTTAACATTGTATTCTTTACTCACAGACAAAACTTGCATACTAATCATACTCTGAATTTTATTATTGTTGTTACAAATAAGATGAAGATGTTGAGATTAAAATGTGTGTCGCGGGCCAGTTGGAAACAAGCCGAGGGCCGCATGCAGCCCGCAGGCCTTTGTTTGAACAGCCCTGTTATAATTAATCTTACTAATATTATAAATTTGTATTATAACTTTCGTGAGACATCCTTACTAATATTATAAATCGGAAAGTGAGTTTGTTTGTTCCAATTTCACGCCGTAACTACTAAACCGATTGCTTTGAATTTTTGCAGACGTAAAGTTAGGAGTCTGGATTAAATAATAGGGTACTTTTTATCCCGTGAAAATTTGATATTCCCGAGGGAAAATAAAAGTATTGGTATAGATGGCGCTGTATGTGTCACATAGGCCTTTTATCCTTTTGTGATACGAGCGAAGCCGCGGGTAAAAGCTAGTACTAAATATATTATTTTGTTTTCGGCTTACTCACGTAATTATTTGACGAGAAACTCGACTAGTTTGAGTAGCAGCGCGACAGTCGCCGCGTCGCGGGTCGCGAAATGCTGCTCATGAATATGAGCCTCTAGTATGGCTTGAAACTAGTCGAGTTCCTCGTCAAAAATTACGTGAGTAAGCCGAAAACATAATACAATATTATAAATGTAAATAATGTCGTGGTGGCCCGGAGGTTTAAGACGCCCACTTCTCATGCATGAGGGTGCGGGTTTGAAACCTACCAATGGCAAGTACCAATGTGACTTTTTCCGAGTTATATGTACTTTCTAAGATTATTTAGACACCACTGACAAACGGTGAAGGAAAAACATCGTGAGGAAACCTGGACTTATAATTTCTAATTATAAGTTTGAAATCACCAACCCGCATTGAGCAAGCGTGGTGATTAATGCTCTAACCTTCTCCGTGTGAGAAGAGGCTTTGCTCAGCAGTGTGCATTTATAGGCTGTTGATGAAATGTAAAGGTTATGTGTGTTTGTTACTCTTTCATGTAAAAACGGCTATAGTGATTGCGATGATATTAGAAAGAGTAGTTTATGGTCTAGAATAACACACAGGCCACTTTTTATCCAACGGGAACGCGGGCGAAACCGCTGGCAGAAGCTGGTACAATGTAAATAACACACCAATGTTCACGAAACCAAATATGTGAATGATCGCATCGGTACTGTAGATCTGTTTCCTACAGCAATAAGATGGCAGTACCACTAAGTAAAGCATGGTATTAAGTTATTAGAAGGGTGTTTACTTTAAGTATGGTACTTATAGGATCGGCCCGGGGCGACGCGATACCCCGCGTTATAAATCTTAGCTATATCATAAAATCTCCAATAACCGCCAACTACCGCCCGACCGTTAGCTACCTAGATCGAGGATAATAAAAATAATTGTGTACACTGAATTATGATGTTTTTAGTTTTCAGCCATTTTGTCTTCTAGAATAATCGAGGAAATTGAACGCTGTTGTGTTCCGCTTGTATAATGATAACGATTTTAAGATGATTCATGAGTAAATTACCTACAGACAATATGAAAGCGGATTAGAAATATAACATAACAATTAAGACAAGGGCATTGTTAGATTTTTCTCTATTCACAAAAAATACTGAAAAAATCTCAATTTATAAACATTTGTTGGAAACATCTTTTTTATGTTCGCCACATACGGTATTTTTACATTTCATACAAATCATCTTAGACATTCTCTTTTTTTTGTCTATGTATTCGTCTTCAAATTCACTCTGAACATTATATTCATTTATATCGTTCTCCGTCTCGCTGTTATTGCCATCCTCGGTCTCTTCCTCTTTCTCCATCAAAAAGAAGCAATTTCGCTTTCTTCCAACCGTTTTCTGCGCGCCATGATGTTAAAACGTTCCTAAAAACCATTTAAATTAATTTAGTAATAATAAAATATCTTTATATTTACCATAAATGCGTAATAATAGGTAAAAAGTAAAATAAACTAAATCACTAATAAATGTGCGAAAGTTACACAGAAGACAAACTTGCGCCTCTGGAGCGCAACGCAATGTCATAGCGGCGAAACTAAAGAACTTACCGAACAGCAGCGGTCGTCCCTCGGGCGTGTTGACTGATGACTGAGTTAGCTCGAAAACAGAAGTGTAAACTCGCGCGGGTTAAAAAGATACAGCGATATATCTATTTCGCGGGCGCCTCTGAGGCGCAGTTTATCTTTCTAGGGTATATAGCCTATGTTCAGCATCGATAATGTAGGATGCCAATGGTAAAAGAATTTTTCAAATCGGCCCGCTAGTTTCGGAGGAGATGCCATTTGAACAAACAAACAAAAAATCAAATCTTTCTTCTTCATACTATTATACCTAAGTATAGAAAAGTTTTAGTGCTTGTTCAACTGATTAATGTAATACCGTGTCGATCTACTGAAATATTGGAAGTAAAAAAAACCTTTAATTGTCGATTTTCTGTTTTAGGTTGGTTTTAGTAATGTGTACATGTTTGATCTTAATTGATTTATGTGTTCAAATTAATGATAACATTAACTTTTCTGTTTTAGATTAATTAAATTGTGCGTTATTTGCACCCGTATTATCCTACATATTACATCTGTATCTGAAAAGCACTAGACCGTTCACACGAATACGCTCGTTTCGGAGATTGACCCTTAAAGAACTTATTATACGTAGGTAACAAATAAACGTATGTTCGTATAACCTAGTGCATGTTTGCTCTTTTCTCATTATGTTTTTAACGACCTTTACTTTTTACGCTTGCATCTGATCAAATAGCAGATTCCGAAATAAATTTCAACCAAAAGCGAATCCATTTTAAAAACTAGTGTTTGGGAGAAGTCTTTTTTATCTATATATATAAAATTCAAAGGTGATTGACTGACTGACTGACTGACATAGTGATCTATCAACGCACAGCCCAAACCGCTGGACAGATTGCGCTAAAATTTGGCATACAGATAGATGTTATGACGTAGGCATCCGCTAAGAAAGGATTTTGATAATTTCCACCCCCAAGGGGGTAAAAAAGGGGATGAAAGTTTGTATGAAACTTTGTCAGTTTTTAACTGATCGGGTTGAAATTTGGCATGCAGATAGATGTTATGACATAAGCATCCGCTGTGAAAGGATTTTGATAATTTCCACCCCCAAGGGGGTAAAAAGGGGATGAAATTTTGTATGAGACTTTGTCAGTTTTAAACCGATCGGGTTGTAATTTGGCATGCAGATAGATGTTATGACGTAAGCATTCGATGTGAAAGGATTTTGATAATTTCCACCCCCAATGGGGGTAAAATAGGGATGAAAGTTTGTATGAGACTTTGTCAGTTTTAAACCGATCGGGTTGTAATTTGGCATGCAAATAGATGTTATGACGTAAGCATCCGATGTGAAAGGATTTTTATAATTTCCACCCCCAATGGGGGTAAAATAAGGGATGAAAGTTTGTATGAGACTTTGTCAGTTTTAAACCGATCGGGTTGAAATTTGGCATGCAGATAGATGTTATACGTAAGCATCCACTTTGAAAGGATTTTGATAATTTCCACCCCCAAGGGGGTAAAATAGGGGATGAAAGTTTGTATGAGACATTGTCAGTTTTAAATCGATCGGGTTGAAATTTGGCATGCAGATAGATGTTATGACGTAGGCATCCGCTGTGAAAGGATTTTGATAATTTCCACCCCCAAGTGGGTAAAATAGGGGATGAAAGTTTGTATGAGACATTGTCAGTTTTAAATCGATCGGGTTGAAATTTGGCATGCAGATAGATGTTTATGACGTAGGTATCTGCTGTGAAAGGATTTTGATAATTTCCACCCCCAAGTGGGTAAAATAGGGGATGAAAGTTTATATGAGCCTTTGTCAGTTTTAAACCGATCAGGTTGAAATTTGGCATGCAGATAGATGTTATGACGTAAGCATCCGCTTTGAAAGGATTTTGATAATTTCCACCCCCAAGGGAGTAAAATAGGGGATGAAAGTTTGTATGGGACTTTGTCAGTTTTAAATCGATCGGATTGAAATTTGACATGCAGGAAGACGTTATGACGTAGGCATCCCCAAGTAAGGATTTGATCATTTCCACCTCCAATGTTAATGGGGATAATGTGAACGTTTGTATGAAGCTTTGTCAGTTTTACACCGATCGGGTTGAAATTCGGCGTGCAGATGGATATTATGACGTAAACGTCCCTTTAGAAAGGTTTTTGAACATACTCACCCCAAGTGGGTAAAATAGGGGGTGAAAGTTTGTATGATACTTTGCCAGTTTTAAACCGATTGGGCTAAGACTTTGCATGCATAAAGTTACTATGACATAGGTATCTACTTAGAAGGATTGATAAATTCCACCCCTAAAGGGGATAAAATAGGGAATTAGAGTTTGTATAAATCTTCTTAGCCATTGAATGTAGAATCATTGAATCTTTTAGAATTACATTCGGTAAAACGATGATTTGGGACCTGGGTAACGTTTGATAGTTTTTCACAGATGTCCCACGGGAACGGGAACTATGCGTCAATGCCCCAGGGCTCTCTAACCACTGAACTTATTTTAGAGAGATTCGGTACAACAATAGTCGATAGAATAGTTTTTATTACCCAAACCTTACGTGATTGGGCACTGTACTGGTAAGATCCCTGCGGGATTATTTATTTATTGAAACTACGATAAATCATTTCAAAATAGGTAAACCTTACTTGGGCACTGAATTGATTCTGGTTTATTCTGTCAGAAGTCATTAATCTACGCGGACGAAGTCGCGGGCAACAGCTAGTTCATTCATAAAATAGTAACGATTTATTCAAACGATTAATTAAGAGATAAGGGAGTTACGTGTGCAAGCAGTTAATATTCTCTCAGTACGCAGGTATTAGATATGATACATATAGGATATTTTGTGGTAACTCTCTTGAGTTTGAAAATCGTGGAAAGTGCCATTGAAGGGAATGCTGTCGGAGGAAAGGTAGCTGTCATAACCGAATTTCCTCACTCTGTGTTTATCGGAACGACATGTTATGGAAAGAATGATGAGGAACCCCTTCATTGGATCTGCGGTGCCTCTATTTTGAGCCAAAAAATCATATTGACGGCAGCGCACTGCATGCACGGGTGTGGACGCCTCAGCAGTTTTTCCGTTAATATGGGAAATGTCCATAACGAGAAAGGTTTTTCAAGCAGGGTGAATGCTTACATTGTGCACAAGGATTATAACTCTCAAAAGACAAGTAATGACATAGCATTGGCGATGATTAAAACTACTATACAGTTCAAACCAAACATTAAACGAATTGCTGTCATGAAAGATCCACCTTATTATGAAAAAGCACAAATGGCTGGTTGGGGTCTCATTGACGTAAGTATTTTTGTTTAAAGTAAATAAATTAGTTCAAAGTTGAAGTGTATATTTAATTAAACTATTGCTTCGTACAGTATATATGTCGCAGGCGAATTGTATATACCGTCGTATTATATTAAGGCTAGCCATTTAGAAAAGCAGGGCCGTTTTGTGATATTGCGCACTGCACAATGATGTATGTATCGTCAATGCGAAGCTTTCTACAATATGACGGCACACGCTTAGCCTTATTGTAATTATTTTACAATGGATGGTCTAGATAACCATCATCATATTTTGTAGTATTAAAATAAAACGTTATTCCAGGATGGCAGCTATACAAAATTTTCAACTTTTCGTCACAAGTATCTTTTTTATAGATTTCGAGGGTGGTAGAACCGACGGTACTATCAAAATATAACTATGTATATCAAAGATGGCGGCTAATAGCCCACGCAGGGTATTTCCGGATTTCCCTACTATGTATTCCACCGTGTCCTCAGGGCGGTCCTCGCAGTGATGACACCCAGGTGTTACCTCCCGCCCTATGAGACACAGGTACCTCCCGAAGCTGTCATGTCCGATGAGGTCCTGCGTCAGGCGATAGGTAAGAACACCGTAGCGTCTTTCAAGCCACTCCACACAGAGCGGACTTACCGCTGCAATGACAGTGAGCCCAGCCCACGGTTGCAACAGTCGTTGCTGACATTCCGCCATGAGATCGCGCCGAAGCTTTACCTGCCACGCACTATTCTGGCGTGGCAGCGGAGTTTCGCCCCAGCGACATGCCGCTGCGCGCAGACAGAACACGCGAGGACCTTCGCCTCCAGATCCCACAGCGGTAATCCGGCAAGGAGGTTCGCCGCCTCCCCGGAGATCGTGCGGTATCCGTGGATCTTTCGGATCGCGATGGAGCCAAACATCGGAAGTGCTCCACGAAGTTCTACCGACTGTTGAGAACGAGTCTCAGGTACTTCATCGTCGTCTCAACGCTGATGGTAAACCTCCCGCCATTGTTTGGGACTCACCCGGAAGTGGCACGTTCCCGCGGCCATGAAAGCACATGGTCTCGGACTTGTGGAGCACCACCTCAAGTCCCAATTGCCAGATTCTTTCAACGACTGTCGCAGCCGCTGTCGCCATTAAATCAGCCAACGCCTGCTGCGACCTCCCGTACGCTACCACCAGCGTATCGGAGGCGTAGCATATAATGCTAACGCCGCTCAGGAGGTCGGTGCGCAGCACCCAGTCATAGCCGATGTTCCACAGGAGCGGCCCCAGCACCGAACCCTGTGTAATACCGCGTGACATGTCTCTACTCGCCCCAGTGACCGGGGTAGCTGACGGACCTGATCTGAGGTAGCTGATGACCTGACACCCGATGATATAGGCGTGCCTCCAAGATGCAGCTCCAGGGCAGGGAGTTGAAGGCGTTGGCGATGTCCAGAGACACCACCACTACGATCTTACCCCTGGACACTGCAGTCCCCGTCGTGAGGTCTCTAACGCACATGATAGCGTCCACCGTGGAGCGCCCTCTGCGGAAGCCGAACTGGCCATCCGACAGGTCGAAGGGTGGGGAGAGTCTTCGAAAGGATCATTTCGAACCGCCTCGTCGAGCAGCATTATGGGCCGGTACGCGGACGGAGAGTCCCAGGGCGCCCCGTCTTCGGCACGAGGACCAGTTTGTCCGTTTTCCAGAGCAGCGCGAACTCGCCTATCTCCAAGCATGCGCTGTAGAGATCGATTAATCAAGGCCCGAGAGCCTCTGAGGCCAGGACCCATGCCTTGCCATGCAAGTCATCGGGTTCTGGGGCGGTGTTGTTGGCGCCCATCCGACGCTCTCAATTCTGCCTCGGTCACCTCAGGGACGATGTCATCGTCGTCGTCGCTATAGCAAGCTGGAACACTACCTAATAATATTTCCTAACATCATGATTTTTTCATAAATTATTTCTTATCTTTATTGTTTTATAAAAATGTGTAACTTAAACCTAATTAGTACAACCAAAAGTGTTTATTAATGGAGGAGGGCCGAGGTTTATCTCATCACAAGTATCTTCGGATTAGTTTCTGGGAAGCCCCGGTAACTTAACTGTTTACATGTAATAAAATAAACATATTATATTATTATTATTTTTTTCTATAACCCTTGATCACCACGAGAACAACACCTAATAAGAAAACAATACTATTACGTTTAGCAACGCCTCGCATGTTAAATTTTGTAACTATAAATTGGGCATAATGACCAATATAGCTATATTGAATAACGCATATCTCCGAAAACTGTCTGGCCGATTTTGACTCAGTCAATTCGGCCAATCGTTCTGACGTTGTACAAAACACCCCTGGTTTGCTAAACGGCTAGTCGTAATGTAATGCGACGGATTATACAATTCGCCTGCGACATATATATATCTTTATATATGACCCTTACTTTGTAAATAATTTGTTTCTGTATGTGTGCAATAAAGTACATATAAAATAAGTAGTTATTTGTAGTTAATTTTAAGTTGTAAATATTTATGTAGTTATATAAATAACTAGCTGTTGCCCGCGACTTCGTCCGCGTAGATTAATGACTTCTGACAGAATAAACCAGAATCAATTCAGTGCCCAAGTAAGGTTTACCTATTTTGAAATGATTTATCGTAGTTTCAATAAATAAATAATCCCGCAGGGATCTTACCAGTACAGTGCCCGATCACGTAAGGTTTAAGTAATAAAAACTATTCTATCGACTATTGTTGTACCGAATCTCTCTAGAATAAGTTCAGTGGTTAGAGAGTCCTGGGGCATTGACGCATAGTTCCCGTTCTCGTGAGACATCTGTGAAAAAACTATCATACGTTACCCAGGTCCTAAATCATTGTTTTACCGAATGTAATTCAAAAAGATTCAATGATTCTAAATTCAACGGCTAAGAAGATTTATACAAACTCTCATTCCCTATATTATCCCCTTAGGGGTGGAATTTATCAAAATCCCTTCTAAAGAGATACCTATGTCATAGTAACTTTATGCATGCAAAGTCTCAGCCCGATCAATTTAAAACTGGCAAAGTATCATACAAACTTTCACCCCCTATATTACCCACTTTGGGGTGAGAATGTTCAAAACCCTTTTCAAGGGACGTTTACGTCATAATATCCATCTGCACGCCGAATTTCAACCCGATCGGTGTAAAACTGACAAAGCTTCATACAAACGTTCATCCCCTACATTACCACATTGGAGGTGGAAATGATCATAAATCCTTACTTGGGGATGCCTACGTCATAACGTCTTCCTGCATGTCAAATTTCAATCCGATCGATTTAAAACTGACAAAGTCTAATACAAACTTTCATCCCCTATTTTACTCCCTTGGGGGTGGAAATTATCAAAATCCTTTCAAAGCGGATGCTTACGTCATAACATCTATCTGCATGCCAAATTTCAACCTGATCGGTTTAAAACTGACAAAGGCTCATATAAACTTTCATCCCCTATTGTACCCACTTGGGGGTGGAAATTATCAAAATCCTTTCACAGCAGATCTACGTCATAAACATCTATCTGCATGCCAAATTTCAACCCGATCGATTTAAAACTGACAATGTCTCATACAAACTTTCATCCCCTATTTTACCCACTTGGGGGTGGAAATTATCAAAATCCTTTCACAGCGGATGTCTACGTCATAACATCTATCTGCAAGCCAAATTTCAACCCGATCGATTTAAAACTGACAATGTCTCATACAAACTTTCATCCCCTATTTTACCCCCTGGGGGTGGAAATTATCAAAATCCTTTCAAAGTGGATGCTTACGTATAACATCTATCTGCATGCCAAATTTCAACCCGATCGGTTTAAAACTGACAAAGTCTCATACAAACTTTCATCCCCTATTTTACCCCCATTGGGGGTGGAAATTATCAAAATCCTTTCACATCGGATGCTTACGTCATAACATCTATCTGCATGCCAAATTACAACCCGATCGGTTTAAAACTGACAAAGTCTCATACAAACTTTCATCCCTATTTTACCCCCATTGGGGTGGAAATTATCAAAATCCTTTCACATCGGATGCTTACGTCATAACATCTATTTGCATGCCAAATTACAACCCGATCGGTTTAAAACTGACAAAGTCTCATACAAACTTTCATCCCCTATTTTACCCCCTTGGGGGTGGAAATTATCAAAATCCTTTCACAGCGGATGCTTACGTCATAACATCTATTTGCATGCCAAATTACAACCCGATCAGTTAAAAACTGACAAAGTTCCATACAAACTTTCATCCCCTTTTTTACCCCCTTGGGGGTGGAAATTATCAAAATCCTTTCTTAGCGGATGCCTACGTCATAACATCTATCTGTATGCCAAATTTTAGCGCAATCTGTCCAGCGGTTTGGGCTGTGCGTTGATAGATCACTATGTCAGTCAGTCAGTCAGTCAATCACCTTTGAATTTTATATATATAGATGTCAAATTGTCGATTTATTCGTTCAGAAACACTTCAGCGGAATAGGTGTTTCAAATAAAATAAAGTTACACAAAATAGCAATTTTTAAAATAAACAAATAAATAAATACAGCGGCCAGCTAGTCAACCTACCCCAATCTGTGACATAAAACTAGAACTTATATTTTCTTCAGGAAATCAATGTGAAGTCGGATAATATTCTTATGTATGTTCAGCAATTGATATGGAACAAAGAATCATGTTTGCAAGTATTCCATCAAATGCCACATGGCACCATCTGCGCAAGTAGTGGGAATCCTCAATCATATTCTAGTCGGTAAGAAGATAATTTACGCTCTTTTTACGTGGGAGAACGATTCATAACCTAGGTTTAGAAAACTAGCACCTGCCTGACAATGCTTGCGTTGTATATCGACGTGTTTTTTATGGGGGAAAATCATCGAATAACTTCTCCCGCTCGGGTGGGGCAAGAGGGAGTATCAGACTCTTACTGACTAAAGACCATCCCTTTATTTTTCCTGATCTTTGAGTCGGAAATCGGTCGGAATCTTAAGTCGGAATCTTAAGTCCACCACCACCTTGATTGATAATACGGTTACTACCTGGGTGTGGAGTCACAGAAGACTTAACGATTTGTCGGGCCTTCGGCTCGAAGAGCAAGAGTAGAAACGGATTTTCTTTTTAGACAGTAAAAGTCTGACACGGATCTAGCCTCACCATAGACGAGAGCAGTCATAGAATGATCTTCCACCTTCTGTGAGGCAGAGATCCACAATCTCCTCATAACTCAGCCGTCGCGAAAGATATTTCGGGCGTCGGGGACCGTGAGATGATCTCCGGCTACCGTAAGCACGGGCCTGCGGATGGCGAGCACGGGTAGACCAGAACCAGCCCCGAGCGTACGGCGCGTCGCGATCAGCTCAAAGACCCATCAGACCACCACAGATGGGGTCCAATAGGGCTGATGCCCACAAGTAAGTCAAAGTCACACATGACACACAAACTTGAGACAACAATTTGTGGATTACACAAAAGATTGCTGTGGACGAGAATCGAACTCGGTACACGTTGTACAGCAGCCGGTTGCCCAACGGCAGTCAAATAAAAATGGTTTGAAAAAGTCAAAATAAGAGCCACAGATAATTTATTGGTTTTATTTTTGTATGTAACTGTTACTGTTACAACAAATGTTATTTTTACTTTGATTGTATTATTATTCTACGTATTAATTGCTATTATTTGAGTTTTCGACATATTGTCGAAGCTAATAACATATCTACGCTTCACATGATTTTATAACGAAACGTCGTGACTGAATTACGAAACACAATTCGTTCATAAAAAAGTATTTATGAGAAATTTAATTAAATAAGTAAGTACTACTACTTTCGATATATATGCGGCATTAAATTACAGTTTGTTGTCGTTATAATAAATTTGCGTGGTAATGTACTATATTAAAATGTAATGAAATGATGATACCATATTATTTCATTGCGCTAAGTTTATTACGCCACGTTAAATGTATCGAATAGAATAGTTTTTTTTAAGGGGGGAAAATCATCGAATGGCTGCTCCCGCCTGGGTGAGGCGGGAGGGAGTGTCAGACTCTTACTGACTAAAAGCCACTCCGTTCCTTCTCCTGCACGTCGGAATAGAATAATTATTTATTTGCTCAGAATGCAGGTATTTACAATAAAGTGATATTAAAACACTAATAAGGTATCCTTGTAGATTATACCATTTTGGCATGCATAACAAAACGCCTTTAGTTTATGGCAATGAAGCTCACATTAAACAATTGCCTCATTCTTCGTTTTTAGTACCTATTGAATGTATTATGGAAACAGACAATAGATAGATGTCTTAATAGCCCGGAGATTGAAGACGACCGCTTCTCATGCATAAAAGTGCTGGCTCGAAATCTGCCAACAGCAAGTACCAATGTGACTTGTTCCGAGTTGTAGGCCCTTCATTACTGACAAACGATAAAGGAAGATATTGTGAGCAGTTACTTTGAAGATGATAAAATTAATTTTGGTGAATAATTAAAATTTTATATTTTATCAATCTTTATTACGGTACTTTCTTGACGGACTTGTATATTGCTAACAGCAGCGCATTTTATCCACGACTAGCTACTTCCGCGCGGTTTCACACGCTCTGCTCATCTCCTATTGGTTGTAGCGTGATGCGCTATCCAACACAAAAATAATTATTCAAATCAGACTTGTAGTTACGGAGATTAGCGCGTTCAAACAAACAAAAAAAACAAGAAACTCTTCCGCTTTATATAATATTATATTATAAGAGTATAAAGATTGTACCAAAAGAAGTATAATAGCTGTTTGTTATTTTTCATTTTATATTTAACGACTAATTAGTTATGAAAATTTTGAACTTGCACCTAATCAGTCAAAACATTCCGAAAAAATTAAAAAACTGCGTTTAAAAAAACCGACTTCAAAAACAAATGACAAACAAAAAGTAAAAACTAAAAAGGAAAAAAAAACTATTAGTGGTCATACGTACTTACAGCTTACACACCCACTGATAGGTTAGAAGTCGATGCCACAAGTTTTAAACAAAATTATTCATTAAAACCTTAATAGATACCTAACACTATTGAGCTTTATATTTTATTGTGGGTTTGTGGCACCGACTTCTAACCTATCAGTGGGTGTGTAAGCTATAAGTACGTATGACCACTAATATTTTTTTTTTCCTTTTTAGTTTTTACTTTTTGTTTGTCATTTGTTTTTGAAGTCGGTTTTCTTAAACGCAGTTTTTTAATTTTATTTTGTACTTTTTAGTTTAGTACTTTGATATATTATATTATACAAAACCCACATGGATGCAAAGTTTTCATCAATACAAATTATGCAAGTTCAAACACCGGGTGGGTACTCTTAACCATTGAGGAGTCCCTTAGCTATCATACTACTTCGTCATTGGACCTTTAATGACCATCCCCCCCCCCCATCTAGGTGTAAAGTCCTCATCAATACAAATTAATCAAACCTAAACACAAAATAGCTACTGTTAACCGTTAAGGAGTTCCCTCAACTATCGTACTACTTCATCATCAGACCCTTATTGACAATTACACCGCACTCAGGTGTAAAGTCCTCATCAATACAAATTAATCAAACCCAAACACAAAATACCTACTGTTAACTGTTAAGGAGTTCCCTCAACTATTGGACTACTTCATCATCAGACCCTTATTGACAATTACACCCCACTCAGGTGTAAAGTCCTCATCAATACAAATTAATCAAACCCAAACACAAGGTAGCTACTGTTAACCGTTAAGGAGTTCCCTCAACTATCGTACTACTTCATCATCAGACCCTTATTGACAATTACACCCCACTCAGGTGTAAAGTCCTCATCAATACAAATTAATCAAACCCAAGCACAAGGTAGCTACTGTTAACCGTTGAGGAGTTCCCTCAACTGGCTCTCGGCTCCATCATCAGATCGGCTCCAGACCTTTATCAGATTGTAGTGGTTTTTAATAATTAATGAAAAAATTAACAAATGCCCTAGTCACCCCTATAATTTTTAAAAGTTCCCCTCGGTTTCCCTGGTCTTCCATCATCAGATCCTGATTTCCTTATCATGGGACCATTCTGGAACTATCTCCTTTCTAACAAAAAAAGAATTTTCAAAATCGGTTTATAAACAACGGAGATATCGGCGAACAAACATAAAAAAAAGCATATATACGGTCGAATTGAGAACCTCCTCCTTTTTTTGAAGTCGGTTAAAAATTATCGGCAAATAACGAATCCATATTAAAAAACTAATATTTGTACGAAGTCGTTTTTATTCATTCATAAAATAGTAACGATTTAGTCAAACGATTAATTAAGAGATAAGGGAGTTACGTGTGCAAGCAGTTGACGTTCTCTCAGTACGCAGGTATTCTCTAAGTACAGTTATGATCCATATAAGATATTTTGTGGTAACTCTCTTGAGTTTGAAAGCCGTGAAAAGTGCCATTGAAGGGAATGCGGTCGGAGGGAAGAAAGCTGTCATAACCGAATTTCCTCACTCTGTGTATCTCGGAACGACATGTTATGAAGAGGATTCAGAGGATTCAGAGGATTATAACTATTGGCTCTGCGGTGCTTCTATTTTGAACCAAAAAATCGTATTGACAGCAGCGCACTGCATGTACGGGTGTGGACCGCTCAGCAGTTTTTCCGTTAATATGGGAAATGTCGACAGGAATAAAGGCTTTGAAAGCACAGTTGAAGCTTACATTCTGCACGAGGATTATACGCCTCGCAAGACAGCTAATGACATAGGTGTGGCGATGATAAAAGCTACTATTAAATTTAAACCAAACATTAAACGGATTGCTATCATGAAAGATCCACCTTATTATGAGAAGTCACAAATGGCTGGTTGGGGTCTCATTGACGTAAGTATTTTTGTCTAACGTAAATGAATCAATTCCTAATTGTACATTGTGTTTGTGAAAAAAGTGTATATTTGATTAAGTTATTGCAGCGGCCAGCAAGTCAATCTCTTCAAGTCAAACTCCAATCTGTGACAAAAAACTAAAACTTATATTTTTTTCAGGAAATTAATTCTAAGTACGATAGTTACCTTTGGTATATTGATCAGTATGTATGGAAAAATGATGAATGCCTCCAAGTACTCAACAAAATGCCAAGTGGCACTGTCTGCGCAAGTAGTGGGAATTCTGAATCATATTCTGCTCGGTAAGATGGTATTACGCTCATACCACGTGGAAGAGCCATTTATTTATAGGTTTAGGAACCCTCCGCCAGCGTGACAATCCTCGCGTTATATATCGACGTGTGAAAGAGGTTACTGAAAACGACCGATCCTCTCTCTCTCTCAAGAATACTGACAAGGTACTTGTAACTCGTCTGCTCTGATTGCTTACCATCAGGTAATGTAACGCTATTCGATAAAAAATGAATTTAATCAACCTGTGTATGTTTAATGTCAACTTAATCAAGTGTGACAAGTGTGATAAGTAATTATAAGAATAAAGCTGCATAAACGACGGGGTAGGTATTCATAAAATGTAACTTACCTGAATTTTAATGACATCTTTTTATAGTTATCATTTGGTTCTTCTGCAAATTTTCCGGTTCGTCTACGAGAGCCTTTTATCTCTCTGTTTCGTTGTCTTCAAAACTTACTCACCTTGATTATACAGTATGTACTTAGTTGAGAACTAGTCAAATACAATATCTACTTTGTTCAAAAGATCAAACCATCACCCAAAATTGCTTGTGACGTCGACGTCAAAAAGCATACTTGATTTCTAAAAAGATCACTAGAGATGATCTAAAATGAATTAAGTAAATTCAATTAATGAATATTCTATTATTTTTAAGTATTTTATTGAATTTAAAAGCTGAAATAATTAATTATTGTATGAGGAAAATATTGAATGTACAGTTATCATTAACGTTGACGTGACTATTGCACTTCAAACAAATAAAAATGATTTGGACCTGGGGTTCGACGCGCGGGCACTCGTCTCCTGCAGCGGCCAGTGACGTCAGGGGAGTGCTATACCATTGAGGAGTTAATCACTGAATAGGCTCTAACCCAATATTTCTACCGACCCTCATCTACCGAGCTAATTACTGAAGTTACTTTCACTACTACTACCTACTTTCATTAAAGATCCTACTAGGAATACCCCTGTCTAGGTTAGGTACGATAAAGTAGCGTAGCGGTAACCGTAGCACCGGGACAAAGCTAAGGCTGTGGCTGTGTATGTGATATTGTGTGTTTGTAAATGCACCCACGACACAGGAGAAAATCCTAGTGTGGGCAAAGTTTAAAAAAAAAAAAAAAAAAAGCTAGTAACAATTTTGGGCTCGCTATCATTGCAGCAGTAACTCCCCACTTTGAGGAGTTGCTTGAGAGATGCTACGGCGTCCTCACCTACCGCCTGACGCAGGTGCTTACCGGACACGGAAGTTTCCGTAGGTTCCTGTTTCGGATTGGGCGGGAGAAAATGCCCGGGTGTTGTCACTGCGAGGACCGCCCGGAGGACACGGTAGAGCATACGGTGGCGGTGTGCCCTTTCGCGTCCGGCTCTGGTGCAGGCCCTGGTACGGAGCGAGGGGGATTGGGATGCCGTCTCTTCCTGCGAATCAGTCATGCTGGCCAAGGAGGAGGCGGGGCGCGTAAGAGAACGAACTTCTTCACGCCCCAGCCGTCGCAGGAGACACTCCGGACGTCGAAGAACGCGCGACGATCTCCGGCCACCGTAGGTGCGGGTCTGCGGACGGCGAGCAAGGGTAGCTCGCCGCCAGACCAGAACCAGACTCGTGTGTGCGTTCGACGCGTCGCGTTACGCGCGCGCCTCAAATAGCCATCAGTTCTCCACAGATGGCCGCGAAAGGCCTAACGGGTTGTCGGGGTTCCGGCTCGAAGAGCAGGAGTAGGAACAGGGTGGTTTTTAGTCAGTAAGAGTTTGAAGGAGGCTATACACGCTAGGTTATGCATGATGGTTATAACTTTGCATGCAAAACCGAGTTTCATACCACGCATACACGTTAGGTTTTGCATGTACATGCACCGATAACAGTACAGTTTAATCACATACACGCTAGGGCTTGCCTGTCGGTTATGCATGCACGGCTAAAACCATAATGCAAAACCTAGCGTGTATGGCCTCTTTGACACTTCCTCTCGCCTTAAGGCATTAAGTCTGCCATTCACTATAATTCTGTGTGAAGAAAAAATGTACAAATCAAATCAATTAATAAAGTTTTTTTCAAACTAGGAAAACCTGAATAATGAAGAATAGTATTGTGAATACGGAAGCAGAAGCGGATTAAATATGCAGAGCGCCCTAGGCAGGAGCCTCGTGTTCGAAAAAGATACTCCTAATTTTTTTTTTGATGCCGCCCTTTCTATGGGCACGCGCCAGCTCTGTACATAAGTGTTTATTAATTTATTATTTTTGTTCCAGAGGTGACTCCGGTAGCGCCCTGGTAGTGAAGAACTACATCCAGATTGGGATTGTCTCCTACAAGGTACCGAACCTCAGCAGGAGTCTCGTGGTCTATACAGACACCGGTTACTTCTACGATTGGATCAAAACTAACGCAAAAAAACTTTATTGTGCCTAAATTTTATTTGTCTACGAATAAAAAATATTCACTAAAATGTGTGTAGGTAGATTTCGTCTTTTTTATAAATTTACAATTGACAGGAGAAATCATACTGTAATCTTTTTTGCCAGGCACAGCATTTGAAAAAGCTCTTCCTAAATAAAATGTTACGAATCGACTTCTTTTTAACTTTTCCCTGTCGCTTTAGTTATTTTAATTCATAGTATTTATATCTGCATGAAAACTACCTATTTAATTTTTTTTAATACGTTTTACTCCGTCGGGAAGGGGGTGAAATTTCTATTACTTTTAACCCATCCAAACAAATGGGTCCAGCTAAATAAAACAGTTTAATAAAAAGGGTAAGCTGGGGAAGTGCCAACGTATTGTAGCTTTTGACTTGGACAATCTGTAACTATTTTTAGCCGGTATAGATTTAGGATGCATACCTGTTACATTTTTGATGATTTAAATTCTTCAGGAACACATCGCTTTTGTAGTATGTCTTCAAAAATTTCATAACTATTGGAACCTTTTATAAAGAGGCTATTGAATTAAATGAGGAATGAGGAAAATTATTTGTCACGGTAATTAGTACGGGATTTCGATTTACTACAAAACGAAGGAATAACAACAAAATGAATAAAGATGGCGCGCTTCAACAGTTAATTGTGGCGTCATGTCCGCCCAAGAGTGGGGGAGATTGAGTGACTTTCAACATCGCACGACAGCAGGCACTCTTGGCTTTGACTCCGAACGAACAACGACACACTAAGAATACTGTCGGCCGAATAGTGATTGCAATCATTAGAATCAGTGCTGTGAAATTGTCATTGAGATTATTTTGTTTGAGATTATAACGGTGAATATTATTACAATGAGAGTGGACTAAACCATTTTTGAACTTTGAAAGCGACTGAGACCTCTGAGTTTGTTTCGGCGTTTCTTCTCAGAATAGTCTGTAAAATGTGAACAAATAAAGGTACACTGTCGAAAGTAAACATTCTTTTATTTAAGAAGATTTAATTGTTTTATTGCTGCTGAAGAGGGCTCTTGCTCAACATCGCCCACAGCATCCTCCGACCTGTCTATTTACGATTTAGAGATCCATGAAATACTTTCGTGTTTCTAGTACCTAAGTATTTTTTATAGCTGATTAATTAGCCAATAAAGTATTTACCAAATAAACAGAAGTTGTGCTTACATTGCGCAAACTCGTGTTCGTCAAAGCAAATTGCCAAAGAACCTGAAGAAACAGTAGCAAGGTAAAAGGCCTCTGGAGCTGTAGACCACCTCAGGGTTATCGGAGCTCCGGCTCAGAGGAGTTCAGGAATGGGAAAATTTTTAGTCAGTAATAGTCTTACACTGTCCCTCATCTCACCCAAGACGGAGAAGAGAAGAAGAAGTCATGACATGAAATTCCCCTTTTAAAAAGGTAAATAAAACCTATTCATCATCATCATCATCATCAGGCTGTGACTGTCTCACTGCTGATAAATTGAAGTAACCGCTGAATTCACGTACATAATCAATAGGTATCAACGTTTTGCTGATTTTCCCTATTGCATCATCATTGTCCTTTAGAAACATATTGTGTTTTAAATGATATATTAAAAATACATATATAACAGTAATAATAACTGGATACACTAGTTGTGAAGGATAAAAGGAATCTGGTGTGTTGTTGTTTCCAACTTTGGTCTACTGTGCATGTTTGTATTACTAGTTATAATAAAGTATGTAGATTAATACTAAATAAATAAATAACACACTCTAATTACTAAGTAAATTTAACCAATATCCAATTTGCGGGAAAAAGAAACAATCTTCAATAATCACTATTTATAATATGTATATAAATAAAACTTAATATCTTATCAACATTAATCACACTAATGCATACACCACCTTACACTACACTTTACACATAAATAAATAAAACAATAAAGTTATAAAAATATATACTTAATATTATTATTTTTATCTAAGTTCATTGTCTTAGTGGTTTAACTATACTTAAGTGAATTCATTCTGTGCGGGTAATTCATAAAAAGTTTGATATTGTGTACAGTACCTATGTTTTTATTAGGTACCCTCCTGTCTCTCAAGGTTGTTTTATTGTATTGTCATACTCGTGCATTAGATATCAATGTAATTATAAAACATTTACAAACTTTAAATTGTAAATAATATACTGTATCAATTGGAAGGAACTAACATCTAAGGTACAGGCTCGGCCTAGTTTAGATGTTAGTATTCATAAACTGTGTGTCTAATGTTTTTGTTGCAATAAACACTTTTTATTTTTATTTTTATATTACGATGTCATCAAACGCATGAAATGTGCTTTACCTAACCCTAAAGTGCAACGGGGCAACCCAATTTATGAAATTAAAAATCCATGAAATGCAATAAAACTGTATTTACTAGAAAATCAATTAAGAACTTTAACGGCGGCGTACCTTACGGTTAATAACATGATAAGCACACGTAAGTACCTACTACCTATTTCAGTCAAACTAGATCTATGTGGTGTGTATTGCGTGGGCTGAGCGCCGCCGTGCCCTCAGGGAAGTGATCGGCGATGGCGACCTCTCGCGTTCGGGCCTAGTGCAGGCCATGATGCGGAGCGAGGGGGATTGGGATGCCGTCTCCTCCTTTTGCGAAGCAGTCATGCTAGCTAAGGAGGAGGCGGGACGCGTGAGGCAGCGAAGCGCTGCCTCCTCGCAACCCAGCCATCGCGAAGGACACACCGGGCGTCGGGGATCGCGGGACGATTTCCGGCCACCGTAAGCGCGGGCCTGCGGACGGCGAGCATGGGTGGCTCCCCGTCCGACCAGAAATAGACCCGAGCGTACGGCGCGTCGCGTTCCGCGCGCGCCTCAAAGAGCCACCAGACCACCACAGATGGGGCCCAATAGGGCCGATGCCGATTCGGAGTCGCGGAGAACCTAACGGGTAACCGGGCCTCCGGCTCGACGTGCAGGAGAAGGAACGGGGTGGTTTTTAGTCAGTAAGAGTCTGACACTCCCTAAAAAAAAAAAATGTGGTGTGTATGTATGACAAGTTATACATATGTATTATTTCTGTGTACTGGACTTGTCCTTTTTTAGACCCAAATTGGGAAATTCTCATGGAGCCCGGATCACCTGGGAAGGACGAGGGCCAAGGCCAGGATTAAAAATTTGTTTCATACGATGGCTACGAGTGCAGTATGCAAGGATACTATAGCGATGACTATAATTGACACACTGCATCAGACGTTGTGATGTTTATAAAGTAGGTAATACTAATTCAGTTACCACAAGTACAATAGGGTACACGTAAATAGGGTAGTTTCCTAAATTTTATTTTAATGTCCGTCTGGTAATTAGTTTCAAACATTAGACACTTATTTTTTCTTTTCTCACAAAATTAAATATTTGCGATGAAATATTAATTTGAAATGTCGTGTGACGTCACAAAACACTACATTATTTTAGCACTTGTGACGTAACGACCTCCCACTCCTAAACATAACGACATTTAATCCAAGTATTGTAACTTTATACGAGCAAATAAAAAATACGTGTCTAATATTATTTCATTATCTAACTTCGGACTAATAAAAATTGTAATTTTCGGGCCGCGGACGACTTAACGGGTTGCCGGGGCTCTGACTCGAAGTGCAGGAGTAGGAACGAGGTGGTTTTAGTCAGTAAGAGACTGACACTCCCTCCTGCTTCAACCGAGAGGGAGAAGCAAATCGATGATTTGCCTCCGTTAAAAAAACACGTCGATATACAACGCAATCATTATCACGCAGGTGTTAGTTTTTTAAACCTAAGTAATTATTGAATATCCTTCAAAAAAAGATGCCCTCTGGACACGTTAAAGAACATGAAAGAGGAATTTTATAGACATGGTATCATGTATAAATTATCTGGTCAATAAGACAGTGCCTCCCGCGGTGAAACTAATTATTACGCTATCACCAACAGAAGACACCTGTGTGACGTCACTTCCGCAGGCGCCCGCGGGCTCTTATCTACACAATTAGCATTTCCCGCCATCCTTTTTGTTCATTATTATACCGCAAATGGCTACTAACTGTATAGTACTAGTAGTAGGTATATATACTATGCTACTAGTAGGTACTAGACACCTACATCTAGTACCTATACTAGGTAGTTACCTACATCATATAGTTATCGATATGTATCACTTCCGATTATTCGCAGTATTTGAGAATATTATAATAAGCATTGGACATACTTCGTTCCAGACACCATACGACTTTTCGGTTGTTTTTTTTTTTAATTTTATTCTATTTATACGTAGAAAAGCCACGTTTCGGAAGGAAAGGCCTTTCAGACAATAGGGTAGTTCCCTAATTTTAATTTTAATGTCCGTCTGGTAGATTATTTTAAATCATTAGTCACGTATTTTTTATTTTCTTACAGAAACGAATACTTTCGACGATATATTGATTTGAAATGTCGCGTGACGTCACTTCTATGTCCATTTTGTACGTAGAAATGACGTTTTAGCCCCCACTCCTAAACTTTGATTCGTTTTATCTAAGTATTGTTTTATTATACGACAAAATAAAAAAATACGTGTCTAATATTTTTTCGTTTGCTTACTTACGGACTAATTATTTGTTTTAATTTTCATACCCTGTCATCATCCCAATTAACGTCAAACAAAGCTGGTAACAATTCCCAATGGCCAAATCTTCTCGTGTCAAATTGAATGAGCTATAAACCAACGCCCTCGGTAAAAAAGGTGCGTATCAATATCTAAAACAACACTAAACAGATCCTTAGTACAAGTACATTTTATGAATCCACAAATCACACCCACAAAGTCACAAGTGAAAGAATCATTGAACAAAGAGTTCCGGTAAGCATTTAATTTGGTCTTCACATCCGATCAGCGCAGTTCATTGTGTTCTATACTTGTAACTCCCACGAGAGAACCAATTGTGGACCTTAGGGCTTACCCGATAGAAAGGAAACTGGTCTTATTTTGGAGAG